CAACCCTGAGCCGGTGAGATTTGAACCGCTGACCTGCTGATCTAGCAGTAGCCTGCAGTGCTGCACTTAACCACTGCGCCACCTTGTATCTTTGTGGCCATCCCTCAACTAAGAGGGTATCAGTTAGTGAAACTCAGTCTTAGCAACTTTAAGGTAGGTGGACTTCACCGCTTCAAATGCTGTTTGATGAAAGAATTCTGGGCGTTGAGAAACACTGAGTTAAACTATTCATATTCAGCAGACCAATACTGGGACATTTCATAACATATTATAGTAGACTAAAATAAGGGTTTGGTCCTTGGTTGTTCAGAGTTAAAATAAGGAATCTATCCTTAAATGGAACATAGGGAAATTGGGAATAACAGAGCTGGGCCGAGTCTAATGGCTGCTGGAAGGAACGTGAAGCTGCCGGGGTGAACAGCTCGAGATCTTTGTGGGAAATTCACTTTTGAGCACTTGACCTGTAGTGTCTTGCATATTGCATCCCCCTGCAAATCCCACCGCTCGTTTCCTTAAAGGGACAGAAGCAAATTGAAATTCACTCATGTGTTGCTTTGTCTTTTGCTTGTCTCCTCAGGTTGCTAGTAGGCTCCACTGGTTGTGATCTTCCCCACCCCTGACAGCCACCAAAGCAGCAGGAGACTAAGAACAGCAGACACCATGACACTGGCAGGTATGGGAATGCTTCCTTTTCAGGGCTTTTCTGCATTGGCCTTTGAACGTAGTATAAGCATCCCCTGGTTACATTTCCACTCTGCTATATCCTTATAATGTAGCCATATGTCACTCATAGTTCTGCAGGTGTTACAGTAGCATGACCTTTTAGTAGGGTAACCCTTTAGACTGATTTCAATGCCCATGCTTTTAGTGGCAAATGGGGTCAGCTCACTGCCCATTGGCCAATTCAGGCTTGTTTGGCACCACTCTTCCATCTCTGGTTTTTCTTCTATGTTATTAACAGAAACAGACCTTGAAGTGGGTGTGTTGGGTCTCTAACAATGCTTTGAGCTCTAAGCACATAGCGTTTATAAACAGTATCCTGAATAACAGGAAACGAGCTTCCTTTAATCTTCTCAGCTGTCCTTATTACTCTCTGTATGGACTTTCTATCTGACGCAAATCCTTGTGACATTCTCACAGCTGGAGTATAGTGGTCGTGCATTGGTTTAGTTGTAAAGTGGCCCAAATAAAGGAGACAATATGTGTGACTATCCTGTCTTTCAGTCTTCCGTACCCACATCAGATATCTAATATTATCAGATATCTGTTTCCCTGGCTTCCCATGCTTTAGTTAAATCCCCAAGGAAGATATCAAAAGTATTTTTTTCCCATGGGATGTTTTAGCAGTAATGAAATTGGCATAGCTCAGGGGAAATGGAGAAATCATTGAGGGATTTTTTTTTTCCTTCTATGCCTAGAGGAATTCAGATGAATCATCTCTGTATTTAATTTCTCTCCTTGAAAATTTGCTGGAAAACCTCTAAAGACCATTGGGCACCAAATTAACTACCCTGTTTCCCTGAAAATAAGACCTCCCGGGATAATAAGCCCAATTGGGCTTTTGAGTGCATGCACTAAAATAAGCCCTCCCAGAAAATATTGCAACATAGCAGCAGCCATGAAGTGACTACATTCACTGCCTCCTGTACCTCAAAAATAATAAGACCTCCCCCAAAATAAGGCCAAGTTCTTATTTTGGGGATCAAAAGAAAATCATATCCTGTCTTATTTTCACAGTAATTGATTTGTCTTCTCTCTATATGGGTGCCTCTTTCCTCTCTTTCCCCAGTTCCAGAACTTCCTTTTGAGATATAATCACCAGATGTGGACACACAGCATTTCAAGTACAACTGTATTATGAATTTGTATAAAAGCATTATCAGAACTCAGCATCTGAAAATGAAGCCAATAGCAGCTCTTCCTCTCCCCTTCTCTTCCATTCCTTTCCATATCGGCCATGAGATGAGCATGAAAGCAGAAAAAACCCTGTCGCCAGGAACAAATGCCAGGGAAATTGCTAATAAAACCTCCTTTTTTGTAATTGTAATTCAATTTTCTTATTTTACACAGCCTACAAAGAAAAAATGAAAGAGCTCCCCCTGGTGTCCCTCTTCTGTTCCTGCTTTCTCTCAGATCCTTTAAATAAACCATCATATAAATATGAAGGTAAGTGGAAACTGATAGTCTTGCCAAGAAAGCTATATAGTTTGTTTGTTTGTTTGTTCATTCTCTCCCTCCCTCCCTCCCTCCCTCCCTCCCTCTCTCCCCCCTCTCTCTCGCAAAAATAGCTAAGCCAACCAACTTTCATGTTGCTCCATGGCAGCTGCTAGATTTCTAGATGAGCCATTAATATGAGTTGTATGAATTTAGCCTTTAAGAAGAAATATATATTACTGCTTCATTTTTATCTCTGGCTCAGTGTCATTTGCCAGCATGATGGAAGAATAGGCAGCAAAGAAGGGATTTTGCACACACTGATTTCCAAACTTGGAAACCTTTTCCTTTCATGCCTACTTCTTTGCTGATGAATCCCATCATGTCTGCACCAAAGGACCTCAATGTTGCAGGGGACACTTCAGATCCTCTGTGAGACACAGATTTCCAGTAGTTTTCCCTGCAGCCTACAGTAATTCTGCCCACTGCTAGTTAAACTGCTTCTTGGCATATTGATTCTTCAGCTTTACTCTCCCTTTTGTTCAGTAGACACTGTAGACCTGACCTGGTGTGTCATATCTGACATGGAGGTCATTGAACTCAACAAGCGCACCTCTGGACAATCCTTTGAGGTCATCCTTAAGCCACCGTCCTTCGATGGGATCCCTGAATTCAATGCCTCCCTGCCTCGACGGCGTGACCCATCATTGGAGGAGATCCAGAAGAAGCTAGAAGCTGCTGAGGAACGACGTAAGGTGAGAAATAGTTTGTACCTGCATGATACCCACAGTGCAGTTAAGAAATTTAATGGGCTTTATGGTAACAGCAGGCCATTCCTTTGGATAGTAAAACATGTTATTTATTCATCCATTGAGCTAACCATCCTGTTTTGAGGATTCTCCCTCTCATTCTGCAGAGTAAGGGATTTAGTCTTTGCCTTTCCCAATGGCACCAACCTTGGTAAATAGTTTAGACATTGTAGAGGACAATTTGATCATGTGAATAAACCAACAGGGAATCTGCCCCACTCTTTTTAATGCCAGGAAAAGTATGAAGGGTTGTTCTAGAAACAAAGATTGTTCTCCAGAGTCTACCAAATTACTCTAGAAAAAACCTCTCCCTGTTTGGGTGCCTCCAGAATTATGGACATTAATTTCTAGAATTCTTCACAGAGCCATGCTGGTTGGGAATTATGGAACTGAGCCCAACACCTGGAAGGGTCCCAAGTTGGGGAAGTCTGCTCTAGAAGACAATATATAGTTGCTAATTTTCTGTGTTATAACTAAACATTACAATTAATTTGAAAAACTGACCATTTTACACTGCCTAGTTGAGTTCACTCAATGTACTAGTTGGGTCAGGAAAGGGCTTAGTGCTTCCATTTATAGAATGTGCAAAACCTGACGAATTTTAATCTTAGTTAGAGGATTCCCCCCATTCACATAAAGTGTTGTATAAACCCAGCTTCTTTGGTTAGTTTAGGGTTCAATATATTGTCCCTCTCTGAAGGAGATGTGTTGTTCCAAAATATGAAAAATAAATCATGCAAACCAGATTAAGTATATTGTACAAACTCAGCCTCTCTCTTAATTGATATTATTCATATACATGTTTTATTACAGTTGAGATAGTTAAGCATTTGCTTAATCTAACCCCGTGATGGCAAACTGATGGCTCTTGTGGCACGCGGAGCCATATTTGGTGGCACACCAGCTGTCAGCTCCAGCACATGCATGACAGCTGATTTTTCACCCTTCCAGAGGGTCGGGGGGGGGTGTTTTCACCCTTCACATGCTTCACGAAAGCCTCCAAAGGCTGGGGAGGGCAAAAAATGGTCCCAAGTGGCCAACTGGAAATTCGGGAACAATCTGTTTCCGGCTTCTGGAAGGCCTTCAGGGGCCCGGGGGGGGGGGAAGGGGACGTTTTTGCTATCCCAAGCTTTAGAAAAACCTCCAGAGCCTGGGTGGTGGTGGTTCATGCACACATGCGTGGGGTGGTGGTGTCACGCTTGCATGCGCAGGTGGGCGGGGAGATTCAGTGGGCACGCGTGAGCCCGCTATTGAATGTGTGTGCAATTTTGGCACGCCGTAAGAAAAAGGTTCACCATCATTGATCTAACCATTGAAAAGATACCCTGTGGTAGGCTGGGCTAAGAAAGAGTGATTGGCCTAAAAGCATCCAGCGAGGCCTATGGTTGATGATGGACTTGACTCTAGGTTTCCCTGCCCCTAGTTCAGCGCCTTAAGCTCTCCAGTTCAGCACTACAGCACCTTAGTTCTCCTACAGTACCATTTGGCTAAATTTCCCCATTGAGTGGAGAAATAAGCTCTTAAAGCACACTTGCCTTGTTTTATTAACGTTCAATATTCACAAAAATAATAGAAAAAAATCATGTCTAAGTCAAATGAATGTCATTCATAGGTGACATGTAAAAGAAATAATTCCATTTGTTTATAACCTGCAATATAATACAGTCTTGTAAATAAGCGTAATATTGAAGTTTTGGGCATGTGCTTAACATAAATGTATATGGAAGGGAGCCATTTTTAGCTTCTGTGAACAATGAGTAGGAAAGGAATTCAAGCAAAATGTTAGCTAGCCCTTCAACTGCTTACAAAGCAGTTCTAGGGAATGGGCTGATCACAGGAAGAAAGAAATTGGCGCTGCTTTCCTGTTTACAAATTATTGATAATCCATTAGAAGGCATAATTCATTCATCCTTGTTCCTGCCTGACCTTGATAGGTAATTATGAATAGCTTCTGGAATACAACTGTAGGGGAAAGAAATGAATGAATTCCTTTTCTTTGGCTCAGCTTTTCTCTTAGATCCCAAGTTAAACCTTTTCCTGTCTCCTTGATCTTAAGAAGTGATCTTATCCACTCCTTTCCTCTTGGAAATATTTTAGGAAATATTTTTTTAGAGCCCTCGGTTCTTTGTTTGCTTCCAGCGTATCTACTGTTAAGGCTGGAAATTACATCCAAGTCTACACATTTAAAGTTTGAAGTGACTTCCCAAGAGAGGGACTTTTCAATGGTAGCTTTCTTAAGTCACAGGAGCCTTCTCAATTTATTGTCAACAATTATACAGACATTTTTGACAACCTCCTCTCAACAAAGCTTATGCATAATGTAGTGTTCCCCTATAATGACAGGCCTTTGATCTCCCCTTGTTTGGATCATCATAAATGAAACCAGAGGTGATCAAGTCAACTTCCTGAAAACTGAGTAGAAAAATCAACTTGCACAAAAGAGAAATTGCTAAAATAAATTAAAGTATTCATATCTGGGTGTCTTTGACTGATAAACCCCTCTGTGTCTCTGCATTACCCATATAACAGATTCAATCATGTGGTCAGAATGTTCAAATGGCAATAAATAAACCTCTATTTTGCCAGAATCTAGGTATAACTTTATTTGGCAAGACACAAGCAAATAATATCTTCAAGTATCGTTCCCTGACTTTCACTTGAAAACTTTTGCAAGATTACATAAGCATAGAATTGATAAGAAAAAGGACAAGAACAGAAAAAGTTTCAAGTATGCAAGGCGGGAATAGAAATATGTAAGGGAACTGTAGACCAGTGGTGGGTTTCTAAAAAAATTTTTTAGAACTTCTTCTGTAGGTGTGGCCTGCTTTGTGGGA